TTGTCATCTCCTTCACTATCTATCAGTCTAAAAGAGATAACAATATATTTTAGATCTGTCATTAATTAGAGTAAGTTAGAAGCCATTTGAAAAATGTAAAAAATAAGTAATAAATAAAAATAATAAAATCTTTATTTATAGGAAATGAAACTATTTTTCCGGATTTAAATCGCGTAGGTATATTTGTTTTTTCAAACAAACCGACGTTTCGGGCCCTGTACAGGTCCCATGGTCACGGTTGACTGAGGTGGTACAGTCTTCAACCAGTTATGTCTAATATTAATGCAAACCGCCCTATTTTTTCACTATAGTTACAAAAGTTATTAATTAAATACCTTATTTTTAATTTTACAAAGAAAACATTCCAATTTACGCTACATTAAATTTTACAAATTATTTTATTGAATGAATTTTTATTAAGTTTAATTTATTATTAATTATACTGGATCCCAAACTGGTGGTACGGAGAAACCATCTTCCCTGTTGAAATTAGGATGTTTTTTTAATTTCAATGGCCTCTCGCAGCATCCTGGGTAGATAACGGAATAAAATCTTAATATATATATATAAATCTTTATTTCTTAAAAACATGGTTTCTTAAACAATAGTGGCTCCTGGCAATAGCCTCCTTTTAAACATAGCCTGTGTCAGGAGGCACTGCTCTTCATTCGCTACGTACACGTACTAAATTACATAAACCAACTAATCATTCAAAACACACTTCTCATTACATCGTTGAAGATACAAAAATATTGAAATTAACGTGCGTGCGTGCGTGTGTGTGTGAGCAGAGCCTCAACTTCTTCATATCTTTTCCCCGCAATCCATTACGATGTAATCTTTTTACACTCATAGTATAATTTGCTGTAGATTTTTAATTCCTTATTTAAAGTGTTGTACCTATATGTTGGCTGCACATTTGTCGTATCTGCAGTTACAGTGTTGGCACTTGGTATTGGTATTACAAGGTCTTGCCTTCTTTTCTGTCTGATACTATGATCATATGCTAAAGTTTTATGTTTTTTTTAATACTATGCTGGTAATATACAATTTTAAATACGTATATCGTATACTATACGTGTTATATATATTGTTGATATAAAAAAAAAAAACATCGGTATATGTAAGGTACCTATTGAATAGAGCGGCTTTCTTGTAAAATTTCGAGGTAAGTTTGTGTTTTTTTCTACACCGTATTCATAAAAGTATATGTCTTTTTCCATAGTGATTGTATTATAATGTATTATACGGAATCTACCAAAGCCATCTGAGGTTGTATAGATTCTTAATAGTCGGGAATTACTCAGCAATGTATTGTAAACAAGAAATAACTGTCGCGTGATTAAGCGCCTCTTGACTGCCTTCACCTTTTTACACGTAAGGCCGTGAGGATACTGTTATTATATCTATGTACGCCTACTTTGTAACTATTAACGATTACGTCAAGTACCGAACTATCAATGTTGGCATTAGAGGTGTCCCACGTGCACGGTGTTCCATACACTTATAAAATATGATAGTATGATAACTGTTAAGAATGTTTATTAGTTCTAATTTACAACTACCTAATAATAACACACTTTATAGGCGCGTAATGAGCACACTGCGCGATGGGTGATTGTGAACCAAAAACAATAACTTTTTATAAAAAAACCTACCTACCTCAGAAGTTCGTCGAATTACATCGATTTGTCAAGTGTTACTGAAATCGGTTACCGGGGTTGCGGAACTGGATTAATTTACTAGTTTGCCACCCTAAGAGGTGGAATATTTCTTTCAATTTAAATAGGACAAATATTAAGGTACCCTCTTTCCAATAAAAAAGAACCATCAAAATTGGCTCGCAAATGACGAGTTATCGTGTAACATAAATACAAAAAAAAGACAGTCGCATTGAGACCCTCCTCCTCTGTTTGAAGTCGGTTAATAAATTATAACAAAATGTCGCATGAATACTTAAAATGCAGCATAAACACAATGTACGATATTGCACGGCCCACAATTTAAAGGAACTTTTGTTAAAATTAAAGTTAAAATAATGAGACGGACTAGTCGAGAAGTTGAAGTATCACTCAGAGCTTTAAATCGCAAAGATTTCAAGGGCAGTGCCACTGCGACTGTCACGCTGTGAGTCCAAGTCAAATAATCATTTATTCCATAGATAGGTACAATTTTTACACTTGAAAATGTCATTCTTTAAGCTACTGCTCGTTCACTGTGCTGACTTCCCCAAGAAGAACGAGCAAGAAACTCTATTGCTCGTTTCAAATAAACTTAAATGCTATGGAATACACTTGTGTGGAATCTAGACTCATATTGTCTTTCCGTACACCTTTATCTAACACGTAGCTTCAGTTTTGTAACACGACTTTTCAATTAAAATGCTTTTAATGCAAGTTTTAAACCTAAAAAATGATAATCATATTATTATGTGCTCATACATAAGTTGACAAGCCCCTTGTGACTGTAATTTCACCTGCCCCCTTAACCCTTCAATATCCATACCCCATAGTACCTTATTTTATAAAAAAGGCGCCTACTAAAATTGAAGCGCATGATCTCTATCCAGTGGATGTAAGAATGAACATCCTGTATAGTAGCAACGTACGCGTGTTACACTTATGTTTTACTTTTTGATGCGCCATTATTTAAATGCATGGAATTAAGAGTATTGATCCATTGTTCTATTAGTTAAACACGTGTGAGGATCTGTGATAAGAATTTCATACAACAACTTTGTCTTGTAGTAAAATATTCCATTTACTGGATATCTAGGCTGATGAGCTCGAATGACCATGTTGAGAAATTTGAACAAACTAGATATCCTTTACTAAGGATATTTAAAATCAATACTAGTGTCACAATTTCGACGTCTGTATCTTTCAGACAATCAAAGGCTTTTCTTTTACATAATCAAAGATAATGGACGCGGCAAATATTGCTAGTCGTCTGAAATGGCGACGGGCTGGACATTTAACCAGGTCTACCGACAGCTGATGGAGCGAGAGGGTGCTCCACTGATACCCACGACTGAACCGTAGGCCGCGAGGGCGGCCGCGCCGACACTGGAAGGACGACGTCACCCAGGGGGCGCGAGTAACGCAGACGCGACTGACTGCGGACAGGGGTGAGTGGCACAGGATGGAGGAGGCCTACGTCCAGAGATGGGCGTTCCAATAAATTCTAAATCGCATATTTCAATTCGGAACTGTAATAATCTAATTTCATTTTAATTTTATTTTATTTTGCATGTGTTTGCATAAATGCAACTTTGTTTTTGAAATATTTTTTAGAATGAAGGCTTATTATTATTATAAGTATCTTTATCAATATCCCAGAAAACTCAAACTCGAAATCGAAACTGAAAATCGAAGAATCCAAACGAGGGTGTTATATTTAAAACAGATTGTAGTGTACGAGGAGGCAAAAACGCCTGTAGAAATTATCACGTTCAATCGTGTCTTTCACAAAAAAATATCTCCTAATCTATCTCCAGGCGTTTCACAGAATTAGCTGTTGTTTTTGCTGTGATATAGCAAATAATTGTAGGATGTGAATTGAATGTTTTGATTGGATTAAATTATATTAACGCCTATAAATGATATAAATCCTATATGCATAGGCGTTATTATCATCTATCTTTGTGATACGATTTCCAATAAATTATGAAATCATCAGAAAAGTATGCAAGTCTTTATGAAATGGTCTACGGTTTCTTCCTTTATTAATCTAATCGTGCCTTAATAAAAATATTGTTTTAAGCTAAATCTAGATAAGACAGTAGATAAGAAAATGGTTTAGTACAAGAGATATACTTAGTAAGTGACACTAAATCGGAGTGTAATAACATACATGAAACCTACTACCTACTGTTATACCTCAAAAATAAATGATGATATTGAGTAAACACGAGAGATCTAACAAATTACTGAAAAGATCTTATTGCGAATTAAAGATTATTTTAATATTTAGTTATCCACTTATTTTTTCAAAAAATTACTGAATCCATTCAGTTGAGGTTCCAACCTCAGTAATTTTTTGAACTTTCAAATCGTATTTTCACAATTATACCATTTATGATTTACGACAGTTTTTGATGACATGTGCGATAAATAGATAAGTTTTTTATAGCAGGGTCCGTGGCTTAGTTTGACTGGCTCTATAGTAGGACGATTTATTTTCCATAGAGCCGATTGGCCTTCTGTTTATTCTACCGACTCTATAACGAGTAGGAACTTTTCGAACTGGTACCACCATTACGTTTCCACCATTGCACGTCCCACCACAGTTTTAAATATCTATGGTTGTAAAGCCCTCCCAAACATCATTAATGCCTGGCACACTAAGGCCATTCGGGCTTCACGTTTGTTTCTTCCTCAAACCTGCAAGATGTAGACAAAGAGCTCTACTACTATTAAATTGATTGCTAATAACATTTAAATTATTTTTGGGTAATTACATTATCTAGTATTGGCAATTCAGACAACTGCGCAGGTGTATTGGTCGCTCTTGTGGGAAAACGCTTTGCCTAATTTTCTCCACTTGATGCTGTTTCGACCCCAACTTAATCGTTAATTATTCCATTTCTGAAGTCGACTACAATGGATTCGATATTTGGTGAAGCAAAAGTCGGTGATAGGCAAATAATAATCAAATTGACTTGGAAATATCTGATAACGGCTTGCTATCTGTCAGTTCACCGACAATTGTTCTTCGTAACGAGTCTTTCTTACTTGTGTATATATATTTGTAATGTTCGATATTTGGAGCATTAAAATGTTATACTATAGTGCATTATTATAGCGATATTTTGTTAAGTTTATTAACGGTTTTTAGCAAGAAATCAAAACAGAAAGCGCGTGGTTTTTGAATTATGTAAAAGTTGCGTTATTTCAAACCGTCTTTTCAAGAAAAAGGTGAATTTTATCAACAGTTTTGTGGACAACGACTTTCGAGTTGTAGAGTGAATGATTTAAAAAAATATTGTGGTTATTTCTGTGAAACAAAAAAGTGTTTCGTGTCTTGAAATGGATATAGGATAGTCCAGTCTTGAATTGTACTCGTAAGCTTAGGTAAATAATTCGTGTTTCTCTTTTTTTCTTTGTGACTTCATTCGATTCTCTCAAATCACTCTTACCACTCCACATTCGACTACACTAAACAGTTCACGACTAAATGGTAGATTTTTCGTAACGGTGATGGCACAATGCAAACAGTCATACAGGTTATAAATACTGATTGCGTCTAGGTGAAAATTAGTCAAAACAAACTGATATGCCCGTTAAATACTGTGGACGGTAACCTTGAGATGAAACAATAAAATTCTTCAAACATATCTAAAAGATTTCCTTATCAAGCGTCAAAAAACGGTGTCGCAGAGTAGCACTACTAATGAAGTTTATTCCTTGAAGCGCGGGCGCCGATTTGCGATTATTTTTTTATCTTATCATTTGTTATCAGCACTTAGTTGCTCTGCAGCATTTCTGCTGAGATGTAATGTTTTCTACACGTAGGTACTTTACTTCTGTTTCACTAATCTTAGTTTTAAATAGTGATGGAGCCGACTTCAAGGTACGTATGCTAAGCCAATGTTGCCTTACTGTATCTGGGCTATTAATCACAAGTTAATCAACGCTATTTAAAAGCACGTGGTTTCGAATATGAATTACAACGCGAACAAGCACTTCTAGAGTATTGAAACACGTGCAATGCATCGCAGTAGAAAATTATCGTTTGTTTTAAGAATGAAGTAGACTCAGACTCTACCATCGCATTGGATTTTTGTTGTTGTACCTACAGTAGATAAATCTACATGTTTACCCTATCGAAAGACGTGATTTGCGGATATGCGGACGCGCGAGCCTATGCGGGTTGCAGGTTTGACACGTTTCCCAAGGATTGTGAACCGTTTTCTTTCACCTGTAGGGAGACGTAATACATGGTAAACATTCACAAACCACAGTGATATTGATAGAACCGTGAATCTAATTACGTCTTGTGCTGTAACTTGTGCCCAATTCGTTCCATAAATGAGTTACTTTCGCATGAAAATAAGGTAGCCAGACAACTACTGAAGCATCGTCTGCTTATCAGTATTCTACAGGATATATCACGGAGTGTGTTGCATGAAATCATTCCGCCATCATCATCAATCATTCTATCATGGATCGAGGTACTAGATGTAGACTGGAGTTTCACATATTACTCAAGATTCTCACGAAGCGTTACGTTTCCACATTCATATGACGTATGTATGCCACTGGGGTGGAATTCCCTGCCTGTAAAATTGTTCTCTGAGTTTGAGCCTTTTCAAGGCAAGAGTGAATTTTAGTGTGAAATTTGGCGTGTTTACTACGTCGTCGATCTCGTCGTCACTTTTCATTCAGATGGAAAAATAGGAATTTAAATGACTCTTTATTGCAATGTAGTAGATACCAACCTCTAGGCCTCTTAAAAACGTCATCAACGTGGTTCCAAGACTCAGTTGGAAAGTGAGTTTTGAAAAACATTTGCAGTGGTAAGGGGTCATGGGATATAACATGATGCTAAAGAAAAGTGAAGGAAATCTTTTGGACTGTTAGAGAAACCAATTAGGAGAAATTCAAAAGAAACTAGTTTAACTATACACATACTGTCGTTTTTACAATATTAATAGTTTGAAATTTATATAGACTTACTGTTCTTATGGTAAGCAAGGCAGCATAATAGAATGTTGTTTTTGAATATGTATTTGTGTCTAAGATAATTTGTTTTTTTTTTCTTTACGCACACCGACACACACGTACATATCTACACTTTCCCGAGTTGGTAGGCAGATACCACAGCCACGATTTTGATACACGTTTCGCATCGTCAACCAGTAAGTATCTGTAATTATGCTGGCTCTCCCAAGCGTCAAATTTTTGATGGGACATAATATTTGCAGTGCCACTCTGAACGGAACTTTAAGTAGCAAGGATCTTAGTGGTTGCCACTGCGCATGTCATCCTAAGACATAAGTTGACAAGTCCCATGTGCCTGTAATTTCACCAGTGCCCTTACCCTCCGTAACGTACTTTTACATCACAAGGTAGCATTACTTCCCTGGACGAACTCTTTTCATGAGCCCTATTGCTACTACATAAAATATACAATACATAAAATTGACATGTTCTACGTGCCTGTAGTTTTGTCAGTACATTTATCCAAACAAATATTATAAATGCAAGAGTAACTTTATCTGTTACGTTGTCACGACTGAACCGTTGAACCAGTTTTGGTGAGTTTTAGTGTACATAGGCTACTACGAAGTCACGGGCACCAGGTACTTATGAATAACATGGCTGTTTTGTAGCAGAAATAGGTACGGCGGCAGCCAGCCAGACGGTATCAGCAGGAACTAAGACATCTTCCATGAACAAAAGTTCCTAAAAGTAGTTCTGATAGACTTAGTTAACACCCCCTGTCCAATATTCTTCACACGGCGTTTTCCTTGAAGTTTTCACGAAATGTAGGTCGTGTGTCGCTTTACTAAACAATAATGATTCATGGAGTACAGTCGCGTGCAATAAAATGTATACGTTCACTTATTTCAAAAATATGTAAACATTAGATATTTGAAAAATAAATCACGACATCGTTTTAAAAATTGTATACTTTTATTTCAAAGAAAAGTAAACAAACTACAGCCTGTGTCTTTGCAGAATCAAGTTGTGATATTATTAATTGTTATCATTCTTTTGTCTTCAATTGTAAAGTTCAATAATTACATTTTATTGCAAAGTAAATATAAACGGTATTTATTTATTATAGTAATGAATATAGACAACATTAACATTGTCAAAACAAAGAATTTCTTTAGATGCTATATTATAAATAGCATCCAAAGAAACTAGTTGTTTTGACAACCACAGATTGTATTAAGTGTTTATTTTTATATTATTGTATTAAGTGTTTATTATAATTAAGATTGTACAAAATTTTATATCGCTCACTTGCGACAAGACGACGAAATTTGAAGTGACTCTGACAAGTCTTGGATTTTAATGAATCCATTACGGTGGACACTGCTCACAAGTTCTGCGCTTCGGTAGTCTTACGCGCACGGCCTTTGTTTTTACGGAAATCTACGCTACCTTCCTCGCCCCCACCGTTTGAGCCAAAGATATACGGTTTTCCTCTGAATTTCGTGTCTGCAATTAATTTATTTCGATAACTCGTAAATACTTATGTCACTTGCGCTGCACTACATCGACAAATGGATATGGGCATTTCTCCTAGAAGGGCTAAATTCCCTGACTTCAGTGGTCGATTTTTTTTTGCGCGGGAAGTAAGTTGAGCGGGAAGGAAAACGAACTCAAGCTTATATAAGATTCCGTTATTTGGGCAACCAGATTCTTAACAAGTAATGACATATTTGATCCACCAAAATCAGAATAATCTACAAAAGGCATAATTTTTGTATAAAATATTATGAGAAAGGCAATAAAAACGTTCAATAATCTACAGAAACATTCACTAATATGACTAACTATTCAATCAAGCTTTAAAAATTAAAATTAATAGAATGAAAGAAGAAATATGTATAAATCAACCAGGATGACGCAAACAAATTCCACGTTATGATTATTAATTAAAAGTAGTTTTCAGTTCAGAAATTTTAGAACGCAATCTGTAGCTACAAAAGCACGTTTCTAGCACGTTCCATCATCTGCTTGATCTCTTTGATTTTTTCCATTTTGATTTTTCTTATCCATTTTCGGCGGGAAGCCGAAGTAATATAAAATTGTGAGAATCGATTATAATAACTAAACTTATACGATGATAAAATTTATATGAGAAAAATGTATAAAATTCTTGCTTTTCAAATAAAATATGGCTTCGATGGCAGTTTTATTCGACTTCGGTGGAAGCTTTTCTGAATTCGGTGGCATAAAATCCACCGAATCCAAGGCCACGGGATTCAGAAAATATATATTTTTTTCTATATTACTCGTAAACGACAATACTTGTATAACCAATGAATTGTTATTATATTTTAGTCGTTACAGCACATTATAAAAAATATTACATACAACCATAAAATTTAGTTCTTGAAATATTTTTTATTAAATACACCGAATCCAAAAATCAACCTGGACCAAATCCACCGAATTACGTATTTACACGCAAAAAGTCCTAAAATCGGCAACAAATCATCCACCTGTTCTCTCCAGTCGCAAGGGCGTGATGGACGAATAATTTGAACGAATTGCGAAGCTTCTCATATGCTTCACTTGTGATATGTAGCGTGATTAGTAACGACCACCGGATTCATAAGCCTAAGACACGCAGCAATCTTGGTATTGTGATAAAACGATTGCCTGGTTTATTGTGAAATTACAGATTAAAAGTACTCTCATCTAATTTATTATACGTGAACTAAAGTGTAATATTGATATACGGTTTAAATTTTGAGTAAAATGACACTTTGTGTTGAGGTCTGCATTCGGAACACGCCACCGTTGTCAGGTTTTAGGCATTTCGGATTATTTTCATATTAGTTTCGAAAGGTTTATTGTGAAGATTTTGTGATCTCCAGTTACCTTACTACCTTACATTACCTATTTCTACCGCCAAGCAGTAATGTCAGCGTTACTACGTTCCGGTTTTGAAGGGTAAGGGTGCTGGTGAAATTACAGGCACATGAGACTTGTCAACTTATGTCTCAGGTTGTCGGGCGCAGTGACAGTGTTCCTCAGATCTTTGCGATTTAAAGCTCTGAGTGGCACTGCAACTGTAATGGACAGCTTACCATCAGTTATATAGTTATGTCCGCCATTTTCAGTTTAGTAAACCTTTCAAGAAATAAGATACTTACGCACTTAAATACTAAGTCTAAATCAGTAATAGGGTGCCCAAGGTACTGGCATAATTCCTCTTTGTATGATTATTTAGTGTAGGTGAAAACGAGGTACAAATATTTAAAAAGTTAATAAAAAACTTTTATCATCATCAACCGTTGGTTACACAATGGTTAGCCGTAAGATAAGAGTTAACTGAGATTGTTATCGCTCTGTGATTACAGATATCACACTACTGTGTGTTGTTAAAACTGTTAACTACCTGCTCAACGTGTGATTTAACAAATATAATATGTTTTCACAATTTTCCTATAGTGATTTCGAGGAGGCACTTCTGCTGTATTCTGTGTATCTAGACCAGTGGTCGGCAAACTCATTAAGTATCGATACTAACTGAGCATGAATTAAAATTTTTCCCGTTCTGAATCGGTTCTTTTGCGCGAGTCCAGCGGGACATTAGCTTTATTTCTGAATTTATTTTCGTACTAACAAAATCAAAGCCATTCGAAAAACGTAGATATATCATATACTATTCGTGTTCTATTTAGTTTAGTAGATATAACAAAATTCTTGCAAAATTTCGAGGTAAGTTTGTATTTTTTTCTGTCGTGAAAATTTCTGGGAATCGTGTTTCCACGCCGTATACGAATCAGTGTTTATATCCCCAATTTCACTATATATTTTTTCCAAAGTGGAAAGTTATGGGCAATCAAACAAAGTCATTTGGGGTATCGACTCATAATCAACACAGTCAAACATCAAGAGTACAACGATTAAAATTTCATTTGTGAGCCAAATTTAAGTACTTATATAGGGTACGTTGTTATGAATTAGGGTAGGTATTCCTAAGCTGTCTTTTGCTAAAAATGTCCTCAGACTCCTTCCAACCTTCTCTTCCACACTGTCTTGTATAATTTCATCGGTATCGGTATTTTGTGGAACATCCATATTCGAGAGACCAAAAGGCAGCATGTGGGAAAAGCAGGATTTGCTGACCTCTGCTTTAAACAAAAGGACCTTTACTATTTTAAATGAAAACAATGGAAGTTTTTAGTTAACGGAAATTCTATTCAAACTTTTTGATAATGAAATTTTCTTCATGAAAAAATAAGTCGAAGAGACGGTCAGCTGACAAAACAGACAACTTTTGAAAAGTCAGCTTTCACTCAAAAGTCAAAGCAAGCGACATTGGAAGACAAAAACGATTTTTTTTAATTCATAAGTGATTTATTATGAAAATAATTATTATATAGGGAAACAAAACATTTTCAATCAATAAGCGTTAACTAAAGAACACATTCCTTTGCATTATAATAAGGGTTCGTCATCACGTATGTGAAAAATTGTTTCTCATCAGGTCTTAACCAAGAGCAGTCCAGATGTGTTAAATCGCTAGTGACCAATGGCTTTACGTCACAGACTGATCAACTTCAAGAACATCCTCAAGAGAAAACATCCTTATTCAGAGGAAGATATCTCACAAACAAGATGTCGACGGTAAGAGTTTGTGTTACTCAAAACGGACAAGAAGTATAATCTACGATCATCGTCGTAGCCAGGTTGCCTAGTCTGCTCTTTGCCGTTCATAAAGGTCGGATTAATTCTGAATGAGGAAAATTTAATGTCAAATCCTTTGATACAAATAGTGTGAGTGGCCAATGCTTGTTTCAAGTATAATAGACCTAAATAAACACTGTTAATTCTTATAATTTTTTTTTATTTTTTTGTTTCCTAGGAGCTCGCAAAGCATACAAAAATATACGATCAATTTTTAAATTTTGATGAAAATCATTAATATTGCTTGTTTCGAATAGATTACACCTATATAAAAAAGTTTCTTCTAAGAATTCTTATCAATTTGTCTCTACTCAAATTTTTGTTTTTGGGGAAATTAGTTAGAAAACCCTTTCTTAGTTCTCCAAGGTGAAGGGATGGGTCCGGATTCTTTTTTAGCACAGATAGCTTAGGTTTTAGGTGGCGGCTCTCGTTTTCAACAAATTAGCTTCTGGCACTCTGGCCGCTGCCGCGCCACGCTTGCTTCGCTCGCTCGGCTCGTAATGCCTTTTCATATAGTAACCTAACCTAAACCCACAAAAGGAGATCGAACTAATACGGAAACGCACACAAGTTCACTGTATAACAAAAGCGATAAAACGATCGAAATTTGTAATTGTAATTTTAAAAGCGCTAAACTCTTAGTAAATAATAATTTTTCCCGCAAAATTTTCTCGTTAATTATCGGCCGTAAACGAAAAATTGTAAGTGTAAAAAATGTCTATTTAGATCTATTCTACTTGAAACAAGCACAAATTTTTTTTTTTGAAAATAATTGAATTTTTTTAAGTCCCTTTTCCATAGTGCCCCCTTTTGTTCAGTCCAATCGGCCAATGTACTGTAATAAGCTCATGATGACGAAACAATGGTCATTATTGTCACATCCTGTTTATTATATACCTTTCCGTATTTCTTTGGTATATTATGGTGTACGTCATGTTTTTCTATACAGTTATACAAGATGTCTGACTCGATGGGATCTGACGAATCTGGGCTTAGGCAATACTCTGGGCATTGGCGTATACGTGCTGGTGGGGTCAGTTGCTGTACGAGTAGCCGGACCTTCAGTCGTACTCTCATTCATCATCGCTGCCGTCGCGTCCTTGCTTGCGGGTGAGTTGTCTTACCAGTTACAGCCACACAGAAATTATTTCAATGAAGGTTTTATCAGGCTGAACTATAATAGATTAACGTCATAAATAAATATCGAGAATAAATAGATTACTATGAAACCATAGGCACCGACATAATTAAATGAATTAAGGCAAGAAGCAGGCCATACAGACTACGCGGGCATCTCGTTTGTTCCGTCCTCGAACCTGCAAGATGTGGAAAGATCTTCCTCCTGAAGTATTTCCTTTGCACTATGCCTTGAACCTCTGCAACTGCGTAGAGATGTTGCATCGCTTAGCGCCTTTTACCGCATGTACCATGGTGAGTGCTCTGAAGAGCTGTTCAACCTCATCCCCCCTTCCCCGTTCCTGCTCAGAAGCACGCGTGCTGGCCTTCGTAGTCACCGTTTCACTACCTGCCCAATTCCATCGCGTACTAAAAGGTTCGGTGGCTCCTTTCTCTGCCGCACGGTTGACAAATGGAACTCCCTTCCGGCACATGTCTTCCCTCCCTCTTATGATATGGGGTCCTTCAAACGAGGCGTGAAGAGGCATATTGTAGGCAGGCAGGGTGGAGGCGGCTAGTGCAGTGAGGATTCCATCGCTGCACTAGGTTCCTTCGCGTTTGGATACCACTTTCCACTTAACATCAGGTGGAGTGGAGTCATTTGCCTGTCATGTATAAAAAAAAAAAAAAAATGACATGGGGTTCTTCAAAAAGCGTGTTTACAGGCTCTCAAAGGCTGGCAACGCATAGGCAGCTCATCTGATGTTGCAAATGTCCTTGAGCGACGATGACCACCTCCCATCAAGTGGCTCGTCTGCTTGTTTGACTCCTTCTTTACATAAAAAAAAAGAACTAACGATGACAAAGTTGTCTCGTTGTAATCATAAAGGGAAAAGACTGTTACATTTCATGTAACAATGTAATTCCTCTATCAAATCAAGTAAAGAATCTGAAGCTAATTATTGACTCAGGTCGTACGTGGGGTCCCCAGGTGTCCGACGTTTGTTGCAGGGTAACAAACACACTAAAGCTCTGTATAGGTTTAAGCACTTTCTTCCCGTTAAAACCAAAACTCTCCTTGTTCAGGCTCTGATATTGCCTGTACTCAATTATGTCGATGTGTGTTACAGTAATATCTCTCAAGTTTTTTTGAACAAGTTAGATCGTCTTCTCAACAATTGCATTAGGTTCATATTTGGTCTGCAAAAATATGACCACCTCTACTTTTCGACGTCAAGTAAATTGGCTTCTCATCCGTGAACGCAGATCCTTAACAATTTTAACCACCCTTTTCTCCATTTTGTTCCATTCAGCTGCTATATAAATTATGTTTATGCTGTATTATGTTTATTTTATTAAGTGTAGCACCAACCTTTTGTTTTTTTTTTTCTGTTTGGCCCAACGGTTGACTGGTAGAGAATTCCTTATGGCATTAAGTCCGCCATTTGTACATTATTGTATTATGCAAAAAGATTAATAAATAAATTTCAGGTCTGTGCTACGCAGAGTTCGGGTCAAGAGTGCCGAAAGCTGGATCAGTGTACATGTACACTTACGTGACTATAGGAGAGTTCCTCGCGTTTATGATTGGATGGAACTTGATACTGGAGGCTGTATTCGGTAAGTTTCGCGCCGGGTTTAGAAAACTGATCATTACCTTCAAATACCTAATTGGGCGTTTCTTTACTCACCGATACAGATCAGACACAGATAATCAGTTGACGGTAAATTCCTATGAAAACTATGCAAAACAATCATGCTTAATGATTTTATCGGTGTCGCATTAGTATAGGCGACGATATGACATCGTTCCCTCGATCTGCTTTTATGCGTTGTGTGTGTACAGTAGTAACAGTCAGTTTATCAATTAACGACAGTGATTTGAATTACGTAGTCAGAAGCAGCCAGATTTAGATACCAAGGTATATTTCATAAATAATCAGATTCGATGCTAAATAAAATTTCTTTATCTCCTCTTTAGAACATTGAATTTGAACCTTTTTCGTTGGCAATTGGAATAAAAACTTTAATTTATATTAGAATTTTATTATATTACTTTGAAAAAGCCGTTAATTACAACACAGAAAAGAAATGCCCGACTGAATGCGCTCATACAGCAATCTTCAGTCCTATACCAAATAAAAATTGTTTTAGGTACTGCCAGCATCGCGAAAGGCATGAGTACCTATTTCGACGCGCTCTTAAATGGGGAGATGTACGAATTCTTCATGGACATGGGGTCGTTTAGCGTCAAGCACCGTTGGTTATCCACGTTCTTTGATATGTTCGCTTTCTTTACAGTTCTTGTGTTTGCGTGTGAGTCCCTACAGTATTTTTTTTTTGTTGAAAATATTTTTAACAAATTTTTCACCACACTTATCGACACGCAATTGCATTAAGTCGGTCAAAAAAGGGTTTATATCCACGTAATAACCGCCCGTCCAACGGTTGCACGACAGCAAATGCTGCACGTGGTGGTAAATCGGTCGTCTCAAGTAGATTTCGTGTCCTTAAGTTTGGTTATTGCCTTATAAAGTAATAAAAAGTCTTCTATGACTCTGAATGTAGAAAATGATGTCATCTTTTGTAAACTAAACGAGAGTGAAAGGGATGACATTATTTTTAATAGGTAACTGAAATTCGATTAAAAATTTTGATTTAATGAATATATTTAATGCTGTGGTAGTCATAATGGCCTTTGGAGTGCGGCAGTCGGTGATAGTGAGCAACATCTGTGCCATCTTCAACATTGTCATCGTTACGTTCATCGTCATCGTTGGTGCCACTAAAGGTCAGTATTAGAATTTCTTTATGTTGTACGTTAGTACCATGATAATGGTTGAGTTTTTAGGACTACGAATGGTTAGCATGCACTATCATGTACCTACGTAGGTACATTGCTTCTATTTTTTTAATGTCCCTCGGTAAAGGTCATGTTTCGGTTGTCGTCGGGTTTTATTCAGTTGCCCTTTGCTTTTGGTACAGACTGCACGCGTTTAGTCGACTAAGAAGTACATAGAGTTGCCATTAATTTTTTATTTATTATACAATATGACAGATAATTTACAGCTTATACTTGTATTTTATTACAAGAAGCCGATCCGTTCAGGAAAGATAACAATTCCATCGATGGCGAACATACTAAGACAGCTATGTCAGATGAAGAAATGCTTTCAGATACGGACTGAATTGAAATAATTAATAACTGGAGAAATATTCATTTTTAGTTATATAAAAGAGCACACTTTGTTTACTTTATATTTTGGTTAACTTGCTTATTGACAGGAGTAAATTCAAGAATTCAAGAAAAAAATTCAAGTTATTATAGATTTTAATTAATGGACAAGGAAATTAATATTCGTGTGCATTCGGAAATCCTATGATTGCCAACGGACATTGCGAAAATAGAAGAACTGTAGATTATCTTCTATATTCTCATACCTCCCTATTTTCAGCTGAAGCACGTAATAAGGGTGGATACAGAAAAGCACGAAGAGGCTAAATGGCAATTTGTATTTTAGCGGACCCGGGGAATTGGCGTCTGACAGCCGACGAGATCGTGGACATAGAGTTCGACGCTGGCAATGGTGGATTCTTTCCATACGGCTTATGGGGCACGTTAAAGGGCGCCGCTGTATGCTTCTACGGTTTTGCAGGTTTCGATATAATCAGCTCGAATCATGATGAGGTTAGAGTTTCAAGTTTTCATGGTTCCGATTTTGCAACGAAATGGAACGTAACATGAATGACCTAAGGTTGATTTTGAAATTATTCTTGCCTGTGTATTATAGGTGGTGAAGGACCCTCGCCGTATCGTTCCACAAGCAATCATGACTGTACTTGGGGTAGCGCTCTTCGTTTATGTAATTTTGGCCACAGTCGTCACTTTGATGGTGCCTTATTTTGTATTGGTAAGCGAGTTCACATTCGCCTTTTTAACCGATTTCAAGAAACGAGGAGGTTCTCAATTCGTTTGTACTTTTTTGTGTGTGTTACGCAATTTATGAACCTTTGGAACCTTTTTCCAATAAAAAATAATCATCAAAATCGGTATTGGTCCCATTTAAATTTGAAGAAAATAGTCCACCTCTGGGGGTGGCAAAATAGACTGTGAATCCGGTTTAACACTCTTTCCGGTAACCGATTTTAATAAAACTTGGCAAATAGATGTGTAGGTAATTCCACGGATTTTTTGTAAAAAAAGTTTTAGGAATGCTTCTATCACTTTATTTAATGCACAATACTGAGTGGAAATTTAATACTAGGTATTAAGGTTAGCTAAATTAATCTTAAAGCAGTAGGGAAACGTTGTTAATGAGTATTTCCGACAGTAACAACTTTTCGTTTACAAAAATTTATAAACGCTTTGGTAAATAATAATAACGCACACACTCATAGCACTAGGGAAACTGCGTGTCGCGGGTGCCATGGACACACACATAAACAACCACAAAGTAAACCACTCACGAGAGAAATAAGTGTAGGCTATACAATACATTTCTCCCGGCCCGGGACCTCTGCGTGGAATTGTAACCGTTCGCATCGGCCACGGAGGCATTTTTATTTTATATAAGAAATATGTAAAAAAAAGCAAATTTTAACGAATAACAAAACTTCAGATGCGTAAAGCACGACATTTTAACCAACTACATCAATAACTAATTATCGATAACAATAAAACTTTAAAACCGAAATAAATGTGTGGGTACTTACCTACGCCCTTTTCTCTTATGCTAGGTAACGTCATACCTAAGTCATCTAGTTAAAAAAATTTAAAAAAGGTGGCGTATTCGCCTTTTTTGCTGTGTACTGCCGTATGCAAAACTAGGTACTTTTGTGACATTGTCACATGCGCCATTTCAACTAACGGCGGCAGAATTATAGAGAACTACTGTTTGTTTTTCATATAAGACAGATAATATATTCCCTTAATAAAGTAGGTATATTTGACATAATGAAAACATAGCACTCGAACATATGACATTTCAGGATACATCGGCGGCTATAGCTACCGTATTCACCTACATGAACATGGACTGGGCTCGTTACGTCGTCGCATTAGGCGGAACCGTGGGCATCTATTCCAGGTGCGTATATTACCGCTTTTGGGCCCATAGGTACCTATATTAATAATCATGTTTTATGTGCGTCTGGGCCAAGTTTTTCTGTACCTATCTACCGACTCGAGAGATAAGGTATTTTCGGACTACGAGCTCGCCGGCAAGGTCTTAGGTAGCGGTCTAGACGTGAGTTGCCCTTTAAGTCGGAAGCTATGTCCGGACATTGTCGCACGACATTGTTAATCCGATTTATAAGGCGAGTGTGTGCGGGCGAGTTGGTATGGGCCGACCAAGACGAACTTATCATAACCAAATTGAGGCCATGGCCCTAAGAAAGTATTGATGCGTGTTGATGAGGCGAAAGATGTGTGTCAGGACCGCAGCAAATGGAAGACTGTTGTCTCTGCCTACCGCAATGGGAAAAAGGCGTGAAGTATATGTATGTAAGTCGATTCGACAAATGAAAGTAAAAAATGATTTTTTATAGTATCAAGTGATGATAAGCTACACGCATGTCCATAACAGTTGCAGTGACACTCAGAGCCTAGCAAAGATATGGGGGGCACTGCCACTGCGCCTGTCATCCTGAGACGTAAGTTAAAAAGTCGCATGTGCCTGTAATTTCACCAGAACCCTTACCCTTCGAAACTGGAACGCAGGAATGCTCACATAACTGTTGGGCGGCAGATATAGGTAAGGTACTTCCCTGGACGAACTCTTTCACAAGGAGCTCTAGATACTGCTACTATGACTCAGGGTAGTAAGACTCTTAGTGGGTCTGTAATTGTTATGTACGGGTGTGTAGCTTACCACCAGGAGCACAGTGTCACTTCACTTGACATCATAAAAATAGCTGCAGCTGCTGCTGAACTCTCAAGTGATGTGTAATCAATCAATGTATCAATGAGTAATCGTTGACACGCCCTAAAATTATATTTATTCATAAAGACAATTGACTTAAGCAGGTTTTTTAAGACGTCGTTATTGTTTTTATCGTATCGATGGCACAGGCAAAGGTTTTACCAATCGGCGTAAGGTACTCGCCCATTGTTACCCAGGTTGCGCCAAACTTACAGGAAAGGGAAGGTACGTTGTGCGGGCAGGCTCCTTACGTGCATCCGTGATTAATTCAGACCCTGACGCCAGGCCCGGGACTAGGGTGGCCAATCGTGACAAGAAATTCACTGATGATGACAAATAACTCAAAGTACCTAAATATTCTAAAGGTCCACGCACATTATGGCAGGCCGCACTGCACCCCATCGTATAGCAACAATCTTCCTAAAACACTTTCGTACATTTTATGTGTAAAATATAGATATGTTACATATATATAATGTAATCACTACGTCTGTCTGTCTGATCGCGGTAAAGTCAAAAACTACTGAACGAATGCTGGTGCTGACTACATGGCCTGGGGCGCACGGAGGCTAAGACTGCAAATCCGCCACTGCCTGAATCACTGAAACTGCATTTAAAATACTTATTTGAATTTTTCACGTTCCAGCCTATTCGCAGCGATGTTCCTGTTGCCACGTCTAATGCTCTCGATGGCAATGGACAAATTGATGCCGCCGTGTTTCGCCTACGTACACCCTAAAAGAAAGGCTGCAATATTCGCCATCGTCATCCCTGCTGTTGTTATTGGTAAACATTCCGCGAACTTAAAAATAAAATTATTATATACGACGATCGGTGACAAAAACATAATCTGCCATCGAGTATATAACCAGAAATATAGACGAAATAAGAGCCATACATTTCTGGTAACTCATCAGTGATACGTCACTTATAAATGTCTACTCTCGTTTGCACTGAAATTACAAATTTGAAAGCTGAAATAGTACAGCGCCTACAACTGACCTGTGTGTACGTCTCTGTATATTCCAAAAAAATTCAGTATTTATTGTAATAAAGATAATATCTCTAACAATAGCGTGCAGTTCCATTCGGTGGTGTAGGAAAAACAGCAAAACATCTAATTACAAAACAAACGGAATCACATTTCATCGGTAATTAAATATGTAATTTTGCAATTTTCGTCCATTATGGCAAAGCTCAAGTGAACTGGTCGATTTGAAGTGAAACAATTGACGACACCCGTCAATTGTTTCGAATTCGGGTCGGTCAATCGGAGCGCAGTTGTCACAGTAATGATATGGCAGAATAGTTTCAAACAAATTAAATGACATTTCGTCTCTATTTCTGGTTATATACTCGATGTAATCTGCTAACTCGATCTGTACTTCAGTTGAGTGCCTACCTGCCTACCTAGGCATGGCAAAAGGCATTGGTTCCAATCCACCCAGAACAAAGGAATTTTTCTTTGTGTTTGGTCTTTGTATCAATAATAATCACAAACTAGTGAAGTATGTTCACTAAAATTTATGAAATACACAGGAATAAAATATCTTCCTCTGTGGTCGAACTGTTACCATGCTGGACTGCCACGCAGCCCACGCATTTTCGTTTCGATTCCCGGGACGGGAGGATATTTGAATGGCCTACATTTATTTATCTCATGAGTTTGGGTGTAATTTGTGATTGTCAAAGTGTGTGTCCATGGCATCCGCGACACAAGGTTTCCCTAGTGTGGTGCTGTGAGTGTGTGCAGTATTTTTTTTTTTTATAATATCAAGTGACGGGACGAACAAGTTGTGCGCCTGATAGTAAGCTGCACGCCTGTCCATAACATTTGCAGTGCCACTCAGAGCTTTAAATCGCAAAGCCCCGAGGGGCACTGCCACTGCGTACGTCACCCTGAGATGTAAGTTGAAAAGTTCCGTGTGCCCGTAATTACACCAGCACACATCACATTTCATCATTAATTAAACATTAAAATATTCGTCCATTATAGCAAAGCTTAGGTTATACTGCTCGTTTTGAAGTGAAACAATTGACGACTCTCGTCAATTGTTTCGAATTCGTTCTGGCCAATCGGAGCGCATTTGTCACCGCAATGATTTGGCAGAATAATTTTCAAACAAATTAAATGAATTCTGGTTATATACTCGAAGTATGGCGTTCACCTGTAGTCGAGTAAATAACCCAAGTATTTTATCATTTACGTTTTATGTGTTTCAGCCGTAATCGCCAGCGTAATGGACATGGACCAAATGATCCTATTCATGTGCGTTGGCACGCTCTTCTCGTACACTGCCGTTGCTGCTTGTGTCGTCGTACTAAGGTACATAGTCAAATATCAAAAATGTATTACATGCAACACCAATAATCGCGAACCTATACTACTCATGAGGCAAATGGGTCTTATATCACTGTTAAATATCAAGCTATTGTTTGCGCTGAAATCACAAATTAGAACGCTGAAATAGTACAGCGCCAACTGACCTACACACAGGTCACACGTCTCCGTATATTCCAAAAATATTCTATATTTATTGTAATAAAAAATATTCTGTATTTCTTGTAAAAAATTGCGACGACACCTGTCAGTTGTTTCGAATTCGGGCTAGTCAATCGCAGCGCAGTTGTCATCGTAATGATTTAGCAGAATAGTTTTCAAACAAATGAAATGACGTTTCGTCTCTACTTCTGGTTACATACTCCATTCCTCAACTGAATCTTATAGATTTTAGAGTACCCCGTCAAATTAAAAGATCTTGGAATATACTTTTCTCAATTAAGAAGTCGCGGAAAGAAGACCGAAGTGTTTCGTTGGCAATAGCCTTATTAGGCGATCATGTCAGACGTACAACAGCAGGTTCATGGATGTGGATATTTTCTGTAATTCGTTACCAAAATTTAAAAGTCAAATTTAAAGCCTTACTATAATTGTTCAATATTGACAGTCCTTAAAATTTCGTTATCGTTAGGTTCTCGCCGATTGTTGCTCAGGGTACGCCAGATGTATCTACAAGAAAGGTATCCGTCGTGCGGGCAGGCTCCTTTCGTTCACCCCAGTTGAGGCACACGTCTTAAGTTGTTGTTTATCTTACGTCCGTTTTCAGATATCGCTCAAAAGACGTAAATGTGAAACCTGGTTTCTTGAAGCAATTATTCGGATGTGGAAGTCGCACGCCCTGCCGGATGTCTTCGCGATGCGCTAACTTCACTCTGACAATGTACAGTGAGTAGATATTTCCGAAAGCCTTTACACATGATCATCACAAAAAACATGTCGTGATCTAATTTACACGGCGTGGTGGCGTGGTATGGCCATTTATACTACTTTGCCGTATCTCTAAAGATAGCAAAAAGAAGCTGTTATAACGTTCCAAAATGATACTTCTAAATATTTATTTCATTAGTAAGCAAATTACTTACGGAATCATCGAATTTATTTAACAATATTCAATCGAACTGCAGACTCTGAGAAGAATGACTAAAATTTCTAAGTTGCTTTTGTGCATAATAATAATAATGCACACATCCATAGCTCCGCACTAGAAATCCTGTATCGCAGGTGCCATGGACACACACAAACAACCACAAACACCCAAACTAAATACAGAAATATAATAGGCCATACAAATATTTCTCCCGGCCCGGAATTGAACCCGGTAACCCTGTATGGCAATACAACATGGTAACCGTTCGGCCACCGAGGCTGTTTAAATAATAATAATAACGCACACACTCAACATAGCCCCGCACTAGGGAAACCCTGACTCGCGGGTGCCATGGACACACACAGACAACCACAAATTGCACCCAAACTCACGAGAGAAATAAATGCAGTCCATACAAATATTTCTCCCAGCCCGGGAATCGAACCTGGGACCCCTGCGTGGCAGTCCGGCATGGTAACCGTACGGCCACAGAGGCAGTCTAATATTTATCATATACAACATTTATTTCAATATATAATAAATTAGTAGATGCTACGTAAAAGAGGGAAACTGATCACTTTCATGGCAGCTTCTGAAGTTGTATAAATATCTTTTGTATACTTTTTGCTCCACGACAGTTTTAAACCTTGTTTAAAGTCTAAGATCGTTTATTCCATAGGCAAAATAAATTTACACTTGAAAACGTCACATTTACATAACATGACATTAAGCTAATGCTTGTTCACTACGCTGACTTCCCTGAGAAGAACGAGCAAGAAACTCTTTGCTCTTTTCAAATAAACATAAACGCTATGGAATACACTTTGAATCAAATTTGTATGGATTCTGGAGCCGTGTCGTCTTTATCTAATACGTAGTCTTCAATTTTGTAGTAAGACGTTTCAATCAAAATATTTTTAATGTAGTTTTTAAACTTAGAAAATCTTAATGTATGCTCCGGAATCTTATTGTAAAATCGTATACAGTTAGGAAATGAAACTATTTTTCCGGATTTAAATCGCGTATATTTGTATACAGTTCCCCATAAGAGTCGTTTACCTTCTTTAAACGAAATCGTGGTACCATGAGTTTGGACTTAGCTCTAAGGTTAATATTATGAATATCTTCTTTCTTATTGAAATTATGTATATTTTTACGGGCATATAAAATATTTGAGTAAATGTACTGTGATGCTACCACAGTCATGATACCAGTCTTCTTAAACTTTTCTCTGAGAGAAAAGAGTCTAGACGGTACTCAGAACGAATCGATCGTTTTTGCAATACAAATATGACTTGAATATCTGCCGCTTTACCCCACATGAGAATCCCGTAGGACTATACTATGGAAGTACCTAAAGTAAACTAGTCTAGCAGTACTAACATCGGTAAGCTCAAGTATTCTGCGGACTGCGTATGCAGCGGAGCTTAAGCTGCTGGCCAGGGAAGATATATGTGGAAACCATTTAAGTTTACTATCTAAGGTCACTCCCAAGAAGACTGCTTTATTAACAAGGTCTAACTTTTCTCCGTTTATTTCTATGCTTAGACTAGTCGATTTTACGTTAGGTAATTCAAATTTAACACATTTTGTCTTCTTGGAAATAAGAACGGTCCAAGTTTTGAGCCCTGCGGAACACCCATTTTAACCGGAGAACCCAAAGAAGTCACTCCATTTATGTCTAATTTCTGAATTCTGTAGTTGAGATATAACAAATTCCGACGCCTTGCCATTTACATCGCAATATTCCAGCTTCCTAATAAGAGTAATATGGTCAACGCAATCAAATGCCTTTGAGAGGTCACAGAAAACACCAATAGCGTACAGGGACCTTTCCCAACCATCAAAGATGTGTTTTAGAAACGCTACCCCCGCATCGCTAGTCGATCTACCAATAGTAAACCCGTATTGTTCACTACGAAAAATATGATTCCTACTGACAGTAACTGAGTCAGCATAACCTTTTCGAATATTTTACTTAAAGCTGGTAAAATTGAAATGGGCCTATAGTTGCTATGATCAACTTTTCTTTTGAATAAGGGTGCTTGCTGTATTTCATTAAATCGGAAAAACACTTTCGTCAACGCACCTATTGAAAGCTACAGCTAAATGTGGGGAAACTAGATCGATAACTGAGTCTATGACTTTAGTTGATATGCCCCAGAGATCTTCAGTTTTTTTAACATGTTTTGATTTAAAAGCTTTTATGATGTCTTGTGGATTAACATGACGGAAAATAAATAAACTGCCACAATTTCCATTAGGAGATCAAAAAAATATTTTTTTAAATCGATGTAAAATATGTTTAGTGCTAAATAGTAATTTTACTACAGACCGCTGTAAAGAAAATAAGGCAATGAAATGAAAATGAGGCATTTTTTATAAAACTTTATATATTTAGGAGCTTTGATCGTTATTGAGCATGTTACATGCCTACACCTCACGCATACCGCTGACGGAGCGCTTTATTTCAACCTACTTATTTCTTGCATCAACGTACGACGGCCACGAGCTGCTGACGGCGTGCAACGTGACCGCGCAACGCATCGCCCGTGGTACTGGATGATAGGAACTACATAATTAGCTTATCCACTCCAACAAAAGCACGTTTATCCTGTACAGGAAATCAGTATAACGCAATACAGGGAAGTTACCTAACTACTATTCCTAAGGGATGTTCGCTACAGACGGCCGACTTCACTATCACAAATGTCGACGACCGCACCATGAGAGAAGTTTTGAAGATTGTGAATTTACCTCACGACAATCTGAAAGCAATAGAAGCCCGCAAGAGGATGATCAAGCTCAACTCCACTGAACTGCAGACTCTACGCAAGAGTAACACCGAAGATCTCTCGACCACACCACAATACCGGTATATGCGATCGTGTTAAGTGCAAGTACTGGCATTGGTCTTGTCCTAAGATCTTACCTAAAGAAAAAAATTTCGACGCCGCTTACCTCAAAGAGTGAACCGGAACCCGGAATCTATGCTGAAATACATGAAGACAGGAAAACTCATAGGAATTCAGATATATCAGCGCTATTTTCCCGAAACTCTGTCAAATAGTCGCTGATCTAAACGTGATCGCGCAGCGCATCGCCCTTGGAACCAGGAAACGGACACTTTTCATTCTAATATTCTAATATCGTCACTCATTTGTAATTTTAGATTTACCTAATACTTGATTGTGAATAAAATTATTCCGAATAAATAATCTTATGAAATATTTGTTTTTTTTTACATCCTTCGACTGCAGCTTACGTAATTAACATGTTAGCCCCATTAGAAAAACAGTACATCAAGAAAACACTTAATAAAATCCAGACAGATAAATCAAAATACTACCTAACTAAACATGTAACAAAATCTCCGCGGCGCTACATGTTGGCTCCGACAAAACAGATTGAAATCACCCAACATTAAATGTACGGAGACCAGCCTGTGCAAATAACCGCGCCCTGATAGGTTCCGTCCGAACACACTCCATGAGCAAATGACATCATTTGCGTGTCCGGATCGAAGCCTATGCGCGCTGACAATTTGACCCCTGCTTAACTTAACATGGTGAAACTAAACCTCGTGTCCCGAGGAGGCTCACTCTGCATAGTCTTGTACTAGATTTCTTTTTCCTGGGATCTCACATCGAAATATTATTTCCAACGAGAATGGAACTTGCTCTTATAGCTTGCCACTTCAGAGAAGTCAGGCACAATATCAACCTCAGGCCCCTCTGAAGAAGCTGCAGTGACTTACTGGTCCGCTTCCACTTTCCCTAACAAGCCAATATGTGACGGCACCCATTGCAATCTCAAGCATCTCCCACTAGTCGTAACATTAATTATTTGTTGTAAAATTTTATAACACACCGTTTGCCATAAGTGCGCCGAGCTATATGTGGAATGGTCATGATTACCACGTTTTGACAAATTAACGTCTGGACATACGACAACGCCTCAGATATTGCATATAACTCTGCCGACATTATATTTACACTAGACGTGATTTTAAAACCTGCCCTCTTATTATTAAGTGGGTCGAAAAACTGCCCCTATCTTACGTCGTATCCTCACCGCACTTAGGGTCGTATTCCAGAACTACTCAATGCTCAAGTCAGGATTTGAGCAGACTTGAGTATGATTTCAAGCACTGGAAATACGACCCTAATGGCAAGGACTTGAGTATGATTTCTAGTGCTTTGAATCATACTCATGTCCTGACTTGAGCATTGAGTAGAGTTCTAGAATACGACGCTTAGAGGAATCAGTAAATATTTTTAAGCCAACCCGAATACGTTTCTTGCAATTCGAAAATTACATCCATGCGAAGAATATCACTATTATAAGTACGTTAAGATGAGGCATTTAAAATCAATGTTACCTCGGCTCGAAATAATTTTTTTCCCGTACTGAATCGGTTCTATTGCGCGTGTCGGACGGCAGGGATACTGTCTTTATTTTAGAAGTGATTTTTTTTTTACAAACGTTATTAAAGCCATTTAATTTATAATGATGAAAAATGTATATCGTATACTATACGTGATCTAGTTAGTTCAGTTGATATAAAAAAAAATTGGTAAATATGTAGTACGTATTGAATAAAGCGGTTTTCTTGTATTTTCTTTTCTATCGCGAAAATTTTCAAGAATCGTGTTTTCACATACGCTATAAAGTTTTCAAATAATTGATACAACACTCCCTGTTATGAGGAATCAACCCAAGCCATTTGAGGTTGTATCGACAGGGCAAATAAAATATGTTAATTATAAAAAACGACGACAGGACTCAATACGTTTTCCGATTGCGTCATTTTTAGCATTCTAAAGTAATTTTTGTAAAAACATCTAAACTCCAAAATAAATAAAAATCTTCAAGTTCCTTTACCTCTCACCAACAGACCCGGTATTCTAATTCCATCTTTTGGTATTGTTTCCAGTAATAACATGCATCGCAACGAGTCTGATATTAAACTACGTGACTGCATATATATACTTAAATATTGGATTGCACGTGATTATGGTTGCCTGGGTGCTGATTTTGACGGTGCAGCCACAGGACAAGGCGCATTTACCGCCATTTAGGGTAATGAATCTTGCATCTAAACTTTTGCACCGAACTATCGTTTACTAGTAGTTTGGTTCACGCGATTTTCCAACAATAAGCCGTGTAACGGAATTCAGGAGGTGTAGCAAAGGGGTGATTCGACGGTGAAATAAAATGTACGTGGTTAAAGACTGAGCGTAACTGGAAATTTTTTACCCAAGGAAATTTCGGTACATTATTATGAGCTATGCTTAGACTCTAAAAACATAGAAGTCGAAGTAAATGGTACGCAACAATTATTAATATTTCAGGTGCCTTTGATGAGATTCCAAAACCTTACTTTGAAGTGCCAACCTGGAAGTATCTGCACCATTTTAATTATATATTTCCAGGTTCTCTTGGTTCCTTTAACGCCATTGTTGAGCATCTATACTAATATTAATTTGATGATCTTCCTCGACGTGTACACATGGATCGTAGTGGTCATCTGGGTTATCATAGGTAAGCGTACGGACAACTACAGGCCAATACATTCTGAACCTTGCCATCCTAATAAATTTAAATTAGTTTCTGTTCACCGTACTTCATGTTAGAAGTAACGATTATTAATTCACAAATTCAGGGTCCCAATAGTAGCTTTCGGTGAGTACTTAAATTGGCCGAGTTAAGATTCACAGAATTTCCAGAAATTGCCGGCATTTCCTTTTGAAATTCTGCTTAATAAAATACTAACACCAAAACTTTTTTTCACGCTGATACTTTGATGATTGTTTTCCTTTTCAGGTATAATAATCTACGTAATATTTATGTGCGCAGTTTCGAAACAAGAACGTAACCATTTTCGTTCACAGCAGGTATTCTCAAGACAGCAAGTCCACAGTAATCTAAGCTCGTTCAAAGATGTTGAAAAGAAAGGAAATAGTCCTAATTTAAATTCAAATTATAATCAAAATAAATTAGAATTAAACCGTATGATTAATACAAATGAAAACAAAATAAATGAAGAGAAACCTAAAGAGGAGCCTGAGCCTAAATTCGAATCGCAAGAAATGTCTGATATGAAAGAAATCACAACAGCAAATGATCAAGTTACAGTAGAAATAGATTTAAAACAAAAGGAAGCTAAAATAATTGACTTGCTAGATCAAGTACTACAAGCAGAAGAAGATAGTTACGTAGAAATTGTAAGCCTCAAGGAAGAAAATATCGAAGATAAAAACATGGTTCCTATTCCTTTAATCGTTGAACCAATACCTCATAGAAAGTCCTTAAGCGATCTTTCTGATGCAGGGTCTGATGCATCATTAGGAAATCAAGTATTGTCAAAGTATGATGTAATAGCACAGGTACATAGAGAAGACTTACCTAAGTTAAATGAAGATGTTGAAAAAGAAACAAATATTATTGAACATAATGGAGAACACGAAGAGCTGACAGCTTTTAATGATAGTGAAACAAACTCTAGAACAGATGAATCGGGATATTCAGATACTATTGACAAAAGTGCTTTGAACGACTCTACAGACGATGCCAGAGAAGATATCCCATATATACCTGAGCCGCCTCCTTTTGATGAAAATTACTTTGCCCAGTCCTATTTTAAGACATCTTATTCGGTTCCTTCAAGATCTAAAAGGTCACCATCCATCTTAGAGCCCGAAATAGAAACTAAGCCCAGAGAAAGTGTCGAGTCAAGCAACTCAAATGATGGAATTATAGTTTTTGGCAGTGATAGACAAGTTAACTTTATGTCAAAGTTGAGCACTATTTTCAAACATAAGATGGAAGAAAACGATGAAGTTAATTTAAAAAGATCGAATTCTACAGGGAACATGAGGGCAGCACAAAACGTGACGATTCCAGAAAGGCCATCAATACAACTAGCGTTGAAAAAAGAAATATTAGCCGCCCATTCATCGCCCCGTTTGCGACCAGTTACGAGGCCCAATTTGCAATCCATTACGACGCCCAATTTGCAACCCGTTGAAACGCACAATTTGCAATCCAATGCAACGCCCAATGCTGAAGCAACAGCAACAGAGACTGAAGATGTTGAAGATGATTCTATGATGTCCAGAGAAAACTTGAAGTCTAAATTAGAGAATATTTTTGCTGCTGGTGGACCGAAGCCTCCAAAATCAAGACTCATGAAGTCTAACCCTCCTACCCCGGAAGAAGCTTACCAAACAGACGCATCAAGCGTGGAAAGCATTTCCAAACTACCAAAAATGGAAAAGAACGATACTCTCAAACGCCAGAGAGACAAATTTGGCGATGTCCTGAACTCGTTTCGTTTAAGTTTAAATAGTGATGATGCAGTGTGAAAAATGGTTGTTAAACCTAGTCGAATCGTAAATGAATTGTGGATATTATTTATGATATTATCGGCTTAAAGAGTTTTCAGAGTGCAATATGTGCAAAGAGCTGTTATATTATATAGTATACGGGTATGAATACCGACACAACAAGAATCTTGTTGAATGTGTCTCTGATAACATTTAAAAGCGTTTATTTAATTTTCTGGCACGTTTTTAATTAAGACGTTATAAATAGACTTGTACTAGGGTAAGTTGTACATACGTTTGTATTAGATACGCAACTCTTTCAAGACTGACGTGTGATGACCAAATAAGGGAATGTTGCTGTTATTTATGTGAATAAAGTTACTGTAAAATAGATTATGTTCCTGTAGATTCGAATTTCATTTTTTTTAAAGTTCATCACAGACTGTACTCCCAATTGATTTATTTAAAGGTAAGTGGAGTTTAATTGAGCTAAGTACTTTCGGCCAAGATTCCCCTGTTATCGGTTGCTGAAGCAAAAAAGAAAGGTGATAACCAAGTAAGAAATGATAGTCGTACCTGCCTTAATTGTTTTTGTGTTTGCAAATAAAATACAACTTACAGAGAAAAATTAAATGTATTAAAAGTTAAATTTAATAAATAAACAGTTTAATAACAAAATCACCGAATGCAACACACACATCGCGAACGAGGAAACGTCGATTCAAACATCACGCTTTTACTTGCGTCTCCTTGTTGTAAAGCACTTTGATATATTCTTCAATCTCCATTCCTTTGATACACTTTACCAACAAATCGTCGATTATTTGTTCTGATACACTGCAATAGATAATTTTTTTAGTTACATTTGGTCCCTCGCCCTGTTGAGGAATTGAAAAAAAATAAATTTTTTGTCTACTATAGCATTGACATTTATACATAATGTATAAATAAATGATATCAATACATAATATATCACCACTTCAAAGACCTTAAAGTACAGGGTAAAGAGCACGTCAAGCTAGACACAAAAGATTTTAATTCTACTCTTTGCCATTTGAGATGAAAATGAGAGATGAGAAGAAAATGTATGATAGTTTATTTTACCTTTGGTACAAATTGCCCAGGGTGTACCTTACAGACATGTAAAGTACACCCTGGGCAATTTGTACCAAAGGTAAAAAAGAAAATTTAAATAAACACCATGGCCGTCATACATATTGAAAAGTACCTCTAAAACTTTTAAAAATAGGTAAGTATGCCCAAAGGAATGATAATAGTGAGTATAAGAGTCTATGGTAATTCTAAATTGGGGCCGTAAAAATATTGTATCCAATCCATCTGGAATTTGTTAAAATTTTAACTAGAAACTATTATTTTCTCCATATCGCCTACATAAGCGCGCTTTTTCTTCGAGGTTAAAGCTAAATGCTCTTACTCGTACGAGGCTGGAAAGAACTGAACGTACGCCGTAGAACTAATCTACGTGGAGGTTTGGTTAGTATTATAAGCGTGTAACGCAATAGAGGTACCTATTGCATTGTACTGAAGAAATGCGATCTGCAAGGGAAGGACCTTGCAGATCGCATTTCTTCAGTACAATGCAATAAAAAGCACCCCTGTGCTGGAAGGGAGGGGTGCTGGTGAAATTAGTGACTTATCAACTTTTGTCTCAGGGTGACGGGCGCAGTAGCAGTGCCCCTAAGATATTTGCGTTTTAAAGCTCTGAGTGGCACTGGAACTGTTATGGACAGGCGTGCCGCTTACTATCAGAGCCACGACTTGTTCGTCCCGTCACTTGGTATTATAAAGAAACCTTCGATAATTCACTCCACGAAAAAATGTGAATACCACATAATACGTCGATGTTCTGTGTTTAAAACTTAAACTTAATTAAAACCAAAACAGGACATAAATATCACAAAAAAGCGCCATTTTGAAAAATGTTTCAAAATGGCGCTGTTGCCCTTTCTACAGAACACCGGCCGGTATAGTGCTTTTTTTTTTCTGATACAGCACCTGCCAATTATCTCCCAAGGCTTCCCGACAGTGCTGTTGGCATACAGCGAGCTCGTCAACATATGCTGCACGAATTTAGTCCTGTATTGGAACAAATTGTCTGCAGTTTTTTCCGGAATGTTGAACGTGAGCCGGAGTCTCTCAGAGTCCTTAGTCTTTGACTTGGGTTTTGTTGTCTTGGGGACTTTTTTCTGGATAGTTTCTTCTAAGATCTGGAATTTGTTTTCGGACTTGTTTAGTTGCCTAGTTTAGGTTGCTGAGCAGATGAAGCGCTTCTTACTGTTGTAAGTGAGAAAATATAGTCTTTTTTTCAGACAACTGAAACATGAGAGATTATGTCGTGGATTTTGCTTCACAGGCACAATATCAATTTCCAAAGTCCAATTAGAGCTATCTCAATTTTACAGAAGCTGACTATTCTTGCATTGTTAACCTATTTCATTCTAAGTATCATCATTATGGTAATAGAGTTTTCTTGTTCATCAGTTCGCTACTGCAACTAAAAATTTACGTTTAATAATTAGGTACACATTAATATACGGTTTGATTAAGCCATAACTGAGTGTCCGTTTGAATTTTTAGGATGTTTTTTGTGAAACTAGCACGTGCTATCGCACACAACTAATGAATAATACAGTTTCCTATCTGGTTAGATATAATAAGGTCAGTATTTGAATTAACGTTTTACGAGATAAAAGAATTCTGAATAATAATTACATTCGCCTGTCAACGTAAAACTCGAATGATTTTGGACTTTAGAAGATACTGTATTAAGTAAAAGTTCTATCAAGAGTTAGGCTTTAATTTTAACGTAACGTGATGAGTATGATCACCCTAAATCACAGGGTTCCCAAAGTTTTTGCTCACCGTCCACTTACGTTACGTTACACTTAGGCAAGAAAAATAAATTTCAACGTCCACCACAATTATTTAATAAATATTTGTAGTGTAATTTATATACATAATTCAGTTATTTTTCTTCAAATGCTGTGGACAGCATAAACGCCTCCCAATTGCTTTCGAGGCCCTTGCCGTCCCCCTAAGACTCTTCAGCGCCCACTTGCAGGGCGGTATGGACCACATTGGCAGACTATGCCCTAAACGATAAATTAGACGGTATTGTAAAGCTAATAAACTTACCCGCAGCAGCTGCGGCGTGCTGGGTTGACGTGGACTGCTTTGACTGTTGACGTACAGCAGCTGAGCATTTTTTGGACCCGAATAGCGTTCGGTTTTCGCACTGCTTTGAACAAGGAAAGTTAAGATATTATACTTATAGCATGATTACGAAAAGTCGTTAGGATAACGGAATGATTTATTTTTAATAATATCAAGTGACGGGACGAACAAGTCGTGCGCCTGATGGAAAGCTACAGTTACAGTGCCATTTAGAGTATTAAATCGCAAAAATCTGAAGGGCACTGCCACTGTCACCCTGAGACATAATTAATTAATAATAACTGTAATTTCACCAGCACCCTTACCCTTCAAAACCGGAACACAGCAATGCTGACTACTGCTTGGAGGCAGAAATACGTAAGGTGGCCATACTGCCCTGGAAAATCTTTCACAAGGAGCTCTACTGCTACTAGGATTATGAATATCCGGACAATATTTTATATTAAAATTTAGATGTCGTGTGTACTCCACACACAAAGGCAATTTGGACGTTTTAAAAACTACCAGATTATCAGTGGTGAATGTTCATGATGTCACCATACCTCTGGGCATAATAGATCATACAGAGAGGGTGTGACCCTCCCTCGGTACTGTCTAGACGGTGACATAAAATTCTATTAGTCTCCGCTGGGCGACAAAAGCTGACGTCACTGTATGAATAACATGGGGCCAAAAGTTTGTAGGGATATTTTGCTATGTGATAATATAAAAGATTAAGGCTGCTAACTGATTGAGTGCATGTTTGTAGTTAATCAACTTCATGCAGTCGAGGTCTCGGAAAACGACTTCATGCATTAACTGCACGCAGTCGAAACCGACTTCATGCAGCCGAGATCGAGTGCACGTGAAGTGGTTATCAACTTCACGCCTTAACTGCAAACATGCAGTCAATCTGTTAGCAACCTAAGATATTTTGGACGACAGCTTCTTTGAAAGCATGTCAGTGTTATAAAAAAGCGAGATCAAGAGACGTTTCTTAACATTTCGATTATGTAAAACGCTAAGATTTAAGTTACAATAACCGCAGGTATAACTTTACATCTATATCGAAGGCCAATCCTGTATTACCAGAGGTATCATGATGTGATAAGGATATTCAGAAAACATATGTTGTTTCTTGGTCAGATTCATCCACGAATTTACCTAATGTTTTGATTTCAATTGCTATATAACATACGTGTATGCCACATATTTATGAAGGCAACCGAAGAGATTTAAATTATATTAAAACTCGTCCATCTTTTGTAAATAGGATAATACCGTCGCTTTAAGCACAAAAGGTGGGTAACTTACAATTTTTTTTATGATACCTAGTGACAGTGACAGGACAAACAAGTCATACAGCCGGTGATACGAGACATGCCTATTCATAACAGTTGTAGTGCCACTCAGCTTTAAATAGCACAGATTTAAGGGCACTGCCACTGCTGCTGGGCCACTGATGGGCATCATCAAGAAAGCAGTAATGCTCACATTACTGTTTGGCGGCAGAAATAAGTAAGGTGGCAGTAAGTACTTCCCTGGAAGAATTCTTTCACAAGCTCTACTGCTGCTACTACTACACTACTCTACTTTGTGACGTAAAAAATATCCAGTTCGATTCAGAATTTAATGTTCTGAATTGTGATGTAACTGACAATTTTCGTTAAATTTTAAGTTATGCCCCTTCATGTCGAAAGGGGCGATGTATACGTTAACTCGCATTATGGGCTTTAGATGGAGCCGACCTTGCCTTCATCTGAAGGTCTGATGTCATTCAGCTTTGTCTGTTTGAATTGAGCAATGAGTTTTATTGCACTTTTTTAGCTGTATTAGATACCATAATTAGTCCGAAACTGGTAAATAACTATTACGCATGAACTAACATTACAGTGGGTAAAACTCAGCATGAGGGATTGCATTCTCCTATAAAGAAAAGATTCACCCTTGCTCAGCAGATTGACATGGACTTGGATAATGTACCTACACACGTCAAACCACCGCATTTGTAGAAAATCTAGACTGAATCGTACATCAAATATATTTGAGGATATAAAACGGAAGAATTCCCGTCAAGGTACTTTGGTGTAAGCACACATATTTGAACTGAAGTGGAATTCTGTGCATCTAGACTTATTCCCTGAACGCTATAACTTGGGCCTTTTCAAAGGGCGAGAGTGAATAGGGATTATTTAGGCGTGCATGCTACATCGTCGATCTCATCGTCACTTTCCATCGGGTGAGGTGGAGGTTAAATGCGCACTTATATTTCTCTGAATGTTCTCAATATGTTAAATGGTTATCATTTAAAGGGTTAGAATTGACGTCAGTAACATGTAGTGAACAGAACCACAAACAGCAAATCGATCCCCTGTTAACCTTGAGCGAGGAAGCGAACCGGAAAGGGAAGATGTATTAGTGAGACAAGAACAGGGGATGGTACCGGCTGGTACATTCTACCAGGGTTGCAGTATTGCCTTTGTTTCATTCGTATGTGTTCAACACATCTTATAATCAATAATTTTGAACAATTCGTTCGAACAATAATTTTGAGTGGTAAAGTCAAGAGCACGTCATGCTTGACACTTTGTACTTTGGACCGTTCTTATCGTAAGCGGCATAGAGTTGGATTTAAATCTTAAGTCTCAAGCTTGTTGTGCTCTTGACCTTGTACAAGTCATAAAAAATGCCATTTTTTTTTATGAATTTGCCGTAATATTTTATTAAAAAATATATGACAGTACTTGACGTACATCTTTGGGCCCAAGTTGTACGGAAGAAAAAAAAATTAATACTTAAATTCGTTAATATTTGAAGGTCACATTTGGCATAGTTGAATTTGTAGCTGAATACCCTACTTTCGGTACTCTGGTACTATACAGGAGCATCTGTTTAACTGCGACCGCCGTGCGCCGAACCGTTTGCAAGGTGACAACTATTTATGAACAAGAACTCTCATTTCAATAAAAATAGTCGATATTGTTCAACACGATTTCATTGACAGCCCTGCTAAAATTGAATAGAAAACACTAGAAGCAATTCAAAGTTAAAATTGGAATTTGAGTCAGATTATTCGAATGACATCATCAATACTTTTAGCACTGAAAGAGGAAAAGTAAAGTACACAAACGATAACGCTCAATTTACAATAATTGTGTTATTATAACGATGGCTTCAAATTGAGCCACTTAATTCGGTAGTAAGATGACGGCATGCGTTCTAAAGCATTTTACTGTAAGCATGTTTTGCGTTAAGGTAACGGATAAAAAATATCTGTGTGAAAACATTTCGACTCGTGAACGTAGTCAAAACGTACGCTGTCATTCGGATTTTTTTTTCGGGTAGCAATAAATACAGTGGGAAGTGTCAATAGTTCGCCATTTTCGCTTTGTAAATAACTTTCCCAATAACAACAGAGTCACCTACATCCAAAGTAGCTAGTCAAATAACCCCGTGTTTTGTCTTTGTCCATAGGATGGTGCAACCGATCATCGTCGTTTGAGTGAATCTTGATAAATATACCGTATATCTTTCAACCCGGACACTGGCAGAATTGTCCTCAGTGGGACAGAAGCCAAATACCCAAAAAAAAAAAGAGAGTCACCTACCAATCAACGACACAATCATTTCGACGTTGGTGCACTGATGATCCCAATCACCTTCACCTGCACCGTCACAGATAACAGAGCCTGTTCATGTATCGTATGGTTTGGTATCGTAATGGTTACAAAGATATTTCTTTGGACTCTGACTAATTAAAAGATGATAAAGAGTAAAATGTGTACTATCGAGAATAATTACTGTTATATATGCATGCATCTTGTATATACATTGAAAATAGTCCACAAGGGTCTCCAAGTCCAAGTTCAGATGACACACATAAATAGGTAATAAGTAATTGTTAACGGTAGGCACGTCTACCTCGTTATTCGTTTATGAGATTGCTCATACCATTGTCTCATTGCAACTGTCTATTACTTTGTTTTGGATGAACTTTGTTTGAACAGGGCAAGTGTGGAAATACAATCAGTAACAATTGTTGACACTTACTGATAGCGTAAGAGCTTCAGCTGAAGACGCGACTTCTACGCCTATTAATCGTCCTTATTGGCGAGAACGAAGAGTGTACGCGCGATTACATCGTTACACTTGCGATTTATAAGCGATTGCATCGATGCAAACGCGCGACTGCATCGATACAGCCTCTGATGTTGAATAATTATGTACGAAAAATCTGTATAGGTTTATGCACATTACTTTGTTTTGGTAATTGTAAATTTAAAAGTGAAATTAAATAAATACATTAAATAAATAAATCGGTTCATTAATTTAAAACGCGCATCGCGTTTGTATCGTTTTTGCATCGCGTTTGTATCGTGTTTGCATCGCGTTTGCATCGCCACTACATCGCGTTTGCATCGCTGCTAAAAGTCGCCGCGTGTAATCGCTCTACATTTCGGGCCGATTATCTTCCAAAGCACGTACTTCTGGTGGATGTCTTTAGGGCACAGACCATGCCCTGAAGCCTTAAGCCTTGAACTGCTAAATATCAGAAAAAGAAAAATGACCACCGGGTCAAAAGTTTTAATTACAAACTTGTTTTAATGATGAAAACCCGTGAATCTTGAAAATTTACAATCCATTTTGACGTAACGAGATTTTGTTATTGTTTCCGACACGCAGGTTTTTGTCGATGCATTTCTACGTGAACTCGAATGTCCTCTGAGAAAATGTATCGGAAGTGACCACACTTATCGACACGAAACCGCATTAAGCCGGTCAGGTTTAGGAGCAGTAGAGCTCATTGTGAAAGCGTTCGTTCAGGGAACCACCACCTTTGTCATCTTTACTTATTTCAGCCGCCAAGCAGTAATGCCAGCGTAACTGTGTTCCGGTTTTGAAGGGTAAGGACTTGTCAACTTAAGTGTCTAGGTGACAGGCATCTTTACGATTAAAAGCTCTGAGTGGCACTGCAACTGTTGATGAACAGGCGTGTAGCTTACCATCAGGCGGACGACTCGTTCGTCCTGTCACTTGATATTACAAAAAAAAGAAACAAAAAGAAAACGCTTTACGTTCATG